TCTACTTGCCTTCGCTGGTTTTCAAGGGAGTATGGGGGGACTGGGGTACTGTTCAAGATCCAACCCCATCAGATTCGGCGCCTCGTCATCGTCCACCCACGAGCGGCTTCGGCCTCGTGCACGGCTCGTCATCGTCGTGCAAGGGATGGCACCGAACTCTTCAAAATGGCCCCCCCCCCCCAAAAGAAGATGGATTGGGTGAGAAAGGGTAGGTGAAACATGTGTTGGGTCGTTTGGAACATGGAGTTTTCAATGTACGATATCATGCTCTTCCAGTCCAATCTCAGACACTTTGGTCAGTCCCACCCCCACGTCGTGTCTGTTCCGGGCGAAGTCTCGATCCAAGGCAGAGGCCCAGGAGCTTTGGATGGCCTTCGGCTATCGCGCGGCGCCTTCGGCGGATCCGCCGGGGGTTCGGCGAAGGAAACAGATGGAGGTTTGGGAGATTGAACATGGTGCAGTCACCCTGGTCATGTTTTGCCTAGATGTTTGCACCAAACTACCGAACAACCTTCCATTTCTTGGGATAAATCATACAGTTCTTCATTGAATAGTTCCACGCAACCGGATCACCATTTTTTGGGTTGTGCCAACCACCAGACCAGACGCATCCACCGGTCGACCAGACGAGACGTTCCGGCCTGGCGATCCCACCGGTGGCGTGGTGAGTGGCTCGACCTTCCGTTCCATGAAGCCGAGCAGGGTGGAGTGGCTCATGGAGTGGCTCGTGGAGGGCTCTTTTGTTCGGTCTAAAAACCACCAACCTCCATGGAACGCCCAACCTAGAAACTCCATGGAACGCAGCCGAGTTCTACCGATTTCACAGGAGACAATTTAGTCGAGCAACACCACGCTGAATCAGGATCCTGCCAGTGACCCCATCTATGTCCCATGATTTCTCAAGCTTCAGCCTCCGCGGTGTTCCCAATTCATGAGAGTGGCAGCGTCCTTCCATGGACTGCCCGAGGCACCGAACGCACATCGGGTTCCTGCTAGCTTGAGCTGCTCATGTCGACCCCCCGCAGTTCGATGGACCCGTCCGCGGGGCGATCGAAGCGTCGATCCGCCTTCGTCTCAACTTGGCCATTCCGACAGAGAGCAAGACAAGGATCGGCCACAAACGTCCTTGCAACATCATCAGCGCCCCAGGATCAGATCCAATCATCTCCACTCAGTTCTGAACATCGAAATATAATGAAATATATCTATAGACAATTCACAGTTCAACCATGCGTCATGTCACAGTCATGTCCTTTTCGTTGCGACGGCCTTCCTCCCACCCATCGGGCCTTCCCACGCTGAGGCGGAATTGGCCTGCGGTCGTTCGGTGCAACCGATGCCCGGGGAGCCGGAAGGCCGGAGGGGAGAGGGAGCCGGGCACAGACCCCCAATCTCGGTGGATCCCCGAGATAGGACATGGGGCGCCAGTGCCATCGAACCTCTGAAACCACTGTAATTCGGAACAGACTGTGGATTAATAGCTGAGCTCCTCCCTAAGGGGATAGAAAGCACATCAATCAGCAGGCTATATCAGATAGAGCTCAATTTCACCTTTGTTTTGATAGGAATCGTATAACCTATTTTGGGTGTTTGATGATCCAACATAGAGGCTCTATAGAGGTCACTCAGGTGTACTCGGGTTCTATACCTTAACGTGTGGCACCAGTGGTCCGATCAGACACCACCTTGCCGAAGCCGTGGCCGCAGCGTGGCCTTCCGGGAACAGCAGGATTGAAGAGCATTGATACGTTGAATGAAAGGTCGTCATGGTGCCCCGGCACGCTTTGGGCAACAAAGCTCGAAATCAGTTGTTAAAGTTAGTTGTTCTCCAGTGTGTTCTGTAGTGACATTTCATCACTATCGTGTGCCCCGAGTGCGAACTCCAATCCGAACTCGAACCGGGACCATTTTGAACCATTTTTCCACATCGTTCGCCACATGTGTTTGTTTCTTTCCTCCTGAGATGCTGCAAGGCGTGGAAGGTCGTGTTCCCAGGGTGCAGTGCAGCTTGCAGAGCACTTTGCGGTTTCTGCAGGTGCACGCCACAGTTTTTAGCAGCATTGCATCTTGTTGGAGGAAGTCCAAGAAACGGAAGAGCTGGCAAAATAAGAGCACAACAGCGTATTGTAATTATATATATATTAGATATAAACAGGTTTGTCTTTTGTTTATGTTCAGTCACTGTTGGAGCAAGAGATTCTTTTGCGAAGCGAAAAAATATCGGACCTCCATCACAAGCGCCTCAGTGCAACGGACTCCGAACCGAGGCCATGGCATCCGTCCAAGCTGGGCCTCACAGTGCGGTGCTGGTGCTGGTGAATCGCGTGTCGGGGAACCAAGAGAAGGGCCCGGCATCCGCCCGGCATCCGTCCGGAGAAGGATGGGAGTGAGAGATGTTGCGAAAGAATGGGAAACATACGAGGACGCCTTTGTTGGGAAGGAGAATTGACTAGTTCTCTCAGTTTGTGCTGCAACAATCTACAACTAATTCATTTTGATATTTTTGACCGGCTCCATGCAATGCGTGTCCAAGACAATATATGTAGAATTGTGTGCTGTTTTGCGGTTTGAATTTGGAGCGTGGCCAATGTAACATGAAGTTTAGCCTGACCAGGAAATGACAGTGACAGAAAAAAATAAACAATTACATATGCCGTTCCTTGTTGACAAACGTTCAGCCAGCAGAGAGCACTCTTTGCTACGTTTCTCCCCATACATGGCGATCAAACTTTGTCTTCACAGCCCAGACATCGAACATGAAGAGGACAAAGGGTAACCAGCCTCGACTAGACAGCAAGAGGACAAGCTTGATTCACCCATGTTCATAAGTCTTGACAACAGCCTTTTTGCCTGCATCATCCTGTCCGTTGTTGCCTTCCGTCCTTCACAAAGACATGGAAGCCTTCCTTGAAAAGCAGACAAGCACTGTGCTAGGCGTTCGATGTGGAGGGCCGGTCAATGACAAGAAGGTTTCAGTTCCCCTGCCCATCGTCATTTTCATGTACAGTAAATGTACATGTACAGTGTGCATATATGAAACAATCTATCATATATATATATATTAATTATATATATACTTATATATGAATTAATTATATATGTACCTAGCAAACCAAACGACCCTTTTAAAACAGGTGTTTGCGTGAACGTTTGCTTTTCTTTGAAACGACCACTTCCCTTCATGCACCATGCCACCACTAAGGTCAACCCCTTGCAGGATTCACTCCCCTCACCTCCCGTCCACAGGTTCAAAGCGCAGGCCATCATGGGCCACCACTGGCCATTAGTGCATACATACTAGATTAAGTATGGCACATAGTTTTTTGATGGAACCAAACATGGGAAGAACAGTGGGACCACGACCACTTCCCGACTCAGCACTTGCCCACTTTTATCGACATCAGCATCACATGCTGCATTCATCGGGCGGTCCTCGGCTGTCTTGGCATGACTTGGCCACGTGCGCCCACTTGGAAAGGGGGTGGAGCACTGTCAACATGTGGGATCATTGAGATCAAACATGACCACATGCCAAGCATGGAGTTTTTTTTGGCTACAAACCTGCCACAATGGCAGATCCATCTGAGCTTAGGAGTAGGTTTTCCTACATTGAGCCATGCCTGAGAAAATGGGAAGCCCCACGTTCACTACGAAAACGTGCAATCCAGGGGAGGTCTCTAATCGAGAGTGAGAAGGTTGGTCAAGTTGCTCCCTCACTTGCAAACATCAGCCTGAACTATGTGTTGCTGAAGGGCTTTACTAGCCACGTGGCTTCATCTGGGGTGATATGCACCAAGCTCCTTGACTTTCTCAAACCACCTCTGGTTGCATTCTATGAACTCATGGAGATGGACCCAACCAGTGACCGTGGGGTATCCATGATCCACGGTGTGGCAACCACGATCAAAAAAATGTTGACGGCAATTCGAGCAAAGTGGCAGAGATGGGAAATGCCACGGGCTGCTCTCCTGGTACTGTTAGCTTTTTGTTTGTTTGATGAAGGGGTACTAGCGGGATCAAATTGTTTAAAGTATTGTTTTTCCAGCATGTCATGTGAACTTAGGACGCAAAGGTCAAAGACTTGGTCATGGATTTGTCAAGGGCCTCCTCAAAAGCTTTTGATGAAGCTTCACCTTGCTTAAGAAAGCCTTTCCAAGTGGTTTTCCCATACTTTCCCATGTTGTAGCAGTCTAGTCTTTGGTTTAAATGCAGCCTCCCGTTGTCTTGAAGGAAGGTCGGAGCCCTTACATATTTCGAGCTGATATGGTAGAGGATCTTGGCAGCGAGAGCGGTGATGAAGAAAGCCACTACACCATCCAACAAACCTTGTCCCGCAGCAACTCCGCTCTTGAGGAGGAGCAAACGCGATCTCTTAGTGAGCTCAGGGCCCTTGCTGACGCCATGGCGGAAATGGTGGAGGATTCGCAGGACCCCACAGTACTGGAGGATTCGCAGGAAGTGGAAGAGCTTCTGACGCCAACGGTGGAGGAGAAGGCTTTGGAGGATGAGGCGAAGAACCCATCCTCTGCCATCCCAAAGAGCGAAAAGACGAGTCATGACCTTGAGGACATTGAGATTGTGGGACGGGCAATGCGGCTCAACTCTCGCTTTTACTTCGCCTTGTAAAAGAAAGAGCAGCTCAAGTTCAATCTGCGGTCCCACCTTTGACCTCCGGCTCAGCAAGTGACAGTCTGTCCAAGCCTGCGCACCGTCCCTTGGCAAATACTTTCTATGGCTTTTTTGTTTGGCCATGGACAGCTTTTTTTTGGTGGAGAAAGCCTTAGGAAGCTGGGTAAAGGCTATGGGGCCTGAAAGCATGTCAGGTGAGCGTGAGGTTCATGATGATCACGAGACACAGCTGATGGATGCCGGGTTAGCCTTGGAGGCTAGCCTGGGGAGAGAAGAAGCTGAGCGGAGGAAGGCGAGTCCAGCAGCGCCAGCAAACAATGAAGAGAAGGACAAGGGGAATCGGTTGTGTTTAGATATCATTTCATTAAATCCATGTATGCCACTATAAGCTGATTTTAGCATTGTCCCATGTTGTCCCTGATCGAGGAGCCACCAAAACCTCCACCACTGTGCACTGGGAGTGAGGAAGCGGACGTATTCTTGAGGGAGCAGCAGCTGGCCCTCTCACGGGCCAAAGCACGCAAGAGCCAGAAGAGTGATGAAGTGGATGAGGCTGAGGTTCCCAAGAAGAAGCATGGGAGGGCCAAGGCAAAAGCTAAGGCCCGTGGCAAGGTGTTGAAGAAGCCAAGTGGGAAAGCTGCCACGAAAAGTGCCAAGGCCAAGGCCAAAAGCAAGGCCAAAAGCAAGGGCAGGAAGAGGGTGGTTGAGGAAGAGGATGAGGAAGAAGAGCAGGAGGAGGAGGAGCCAGAAGAGGAGGATGCAGAAGAAGAGGAGGAGGAAGAAGAGCTGGGCAAGGAGGAGGATGAAGAAGAGCAGAAGAAGAAGAAGCCCAAAGAGAGCAAAAAAAACAAAGGAAAAAAGGATGATGGTGCCAAGCCCGATGGTGCGAAGAAGACTTTCGCCAAGAGGTACAAGTCCAGCTGCAATCCAGAGAAGTGGGATGCTGTTCGTGAAGCCTATGTGACTCACATCAAGGCCAACGTGCAGCTTCAAGCTTTTTGTGAGGAGCTGCCCCGCTACCCACCACCAAAAATATACTCCCATGGGTGCAGGTGTTTTTGGTGGCTTGTGCATGGCCAGTGTTTTCCTCAAATGGTGAAACCCAACAAGTGTATAGTATATGCTTTATGTCGCGACGCTGCATGGAAGGAGCACTGGTGGCAGCTGTGCGTCCAGGAGTTGAAGGAACATGGTGGTGATCTCAAACGCATCAATCAAGCGTTGGCCAACAAGTTCTTGAAAGAGGAGAAGGTTCGATGCTTGTTCTTGCTTATAAAAAGATTCTTTCTTAGAGTCCTCCTGGAAGCACCGAGGTCACTAGTCTTTATGAAAACGATTCCCCTGTGTCTTTGAATGGTTATTGCAAATTTGTGACTTCCACTTTAGGAGCACCCAAATCCTTAACAAATTATCCCCGCGCATAACTTATGGATTCCGGCGCTCCCAAAATGGAAGCCCAAAACCCAGTGGAAACACTGCACGATTCGTCCGTTCAGCTTTGTTCTTAAAGGATCTATCGTTTCGATTTCTCTTTGGTGACAAGGATCTGTACTCACCGCAGCTGGCAAGAAGTACGTGGCCAGCATCAACAAACGCAAAGCCGCTGAAGCTGCTGATGCAGCCTGAGCTCGGATTTTTGGTTTTGGAAGCGGATTGATTGCAGCCACTCAGCTGGCTGGTTGAAATATACCATGGGTTTGGGGATAGTGACCATCGACCATAGAGGGTTGGGGCCATGGCAATGTGCTTAGCCAAGTTCCCTGTGGCATTAACTCCTCCAAACAAAACAAACCATGTCAAGCATGCATATTAAACCATGTCTAAAACAAGTTAGTGAAATACTTGCTCTAATACATGTAAGATTGGAGGAAGGCACAGCTCTGGAACCCTGCGGTTGATGTCGCAACTTCACCTGCTTCGCAAGTAGCATGAGAAAAAGGAGCGTGGTCTGGTCAAGAACCAAACCCTCCAATAAGGGGTAAGAGGCCACAAAGGGCAGGCCTCTCAACATGCCTTAAATTAGCTCCCCTACAATTCCCTCCGTGTTCACTGGATTTCATTCATTGCCATGCCCTCGATGGTCCAGGTACTTCTGATGGCTGGCGTCCTTTCCACCCTGGGATTTCATCCTGGTGAATCACCACCTCGACTTCAGAGACGAGAAGGTTCGAACCGCCTGCCCTCCATCATGCATGCAGGCAACTTGATGGAGTTTTGATGAGCTTTGACTGGACACATGCTGTTTCAACCTCGCAGCTTTTGAGTGGAAAGTCGCAGCTCATTTGTTATAGGCGGGTTCCCGGAATCGTACCATGGCCCGCCCAAACTTTGCTAAAGTTGGGCTATCCTTGTTCAAGCTCGGTGCTCCCAAGGCACTGGGGAACTTAACATGGGTCCGGTGTGCGTCGTTCTTTCTATCTAGTCTTGACCGATTCCCATTGCCCTTGCCTGCAGATCTTTGTCTTGATTATATGCCTTTTGATATGGAACGAAGACATTGAGCTCAATCAGGCAGGGCCGATAATTTGTTTAAGCTTCAGTCCCTGTTGACATGTACCATATGTCACCCATGCCATCATGTTACAAAACAACAAATATAAAAAAAAACAAAATAGTTGAAATACTATGCAGGGCTATTGCTTCATCGAGCACTATGCTGGGTCAGCCACAATGACTAGTGGCAAGAGGTGGGCCCGA